AAGTATTACCTATCTAAGTATAATTTAGGAGTTGTACCTTATTATTCTAACAACCAGCACCAGAAATTCTAAAGCTACTCAAACCAATTGGATCACCAGCTTCCTTGCAGATCGGAGCATCAAGGTCGTTGTAGACGGTGCATGTTCTGACTACAAGCCTATTAACGCTGGTGTTCCACAAGGCTGTGTGCTATCACCAACGCTGTTTCTTCTGCATATCAATGATATGTTGCTAACTGGTAACATTCATTGCTATGCGGATGACAGCACTGGTGATGCTCTATACACCGGCCGGGCCAATATTTCTCGGGAAAACGTCGCCGAGTACCGGAACAAACTTGTGTCTGAAGTCGAGTCTTTGCTGGACAAAGTCTCGGATTGGGGGCGACTAAATCTAGTCCAGTTTAATCCTCAGAAGACACAAGTTTGCGCGTTTACCGCTAAAAAGAACCCCTTTGTCGTATCTCCTCAGTTTCAAGGCACTCCCCTTCTTGCCTCAGCCAGTATCGGTATCCTCGGAGTCGACATATCGAGTGACGTGCAGTTTCGTGGTCACTTGGAAGAGAAGGCCAAATTGGCCTCTAAAAAGCTTGGCGTGCTCAGCAGAGCGGGACAGTATTTCATGCCGGCACACCGCCTGCAACTTTACAAGGCGCAGGTTCGGCCTCACATGGAATACTGTTCCCATCTCTGGGCTGGGGCTCCCCAGTGCCAGCTCCTTCCACTTGACCGCATCCAGCGCAGAGCGGCTCGAATCGTCGACGACCGAGCCCTTTCCGATCGGCTCGATTCATTGGCACTGCGAAGAGATGTTGCATCTCTTTGCATTTTCTTTCGCATATACCATGGGGAGTGCTCTGAGGAATTGTTCGGATTAATCCCAGCCGCCAAATTTCATGAACGCACATCGCGGCAGAACTCCCGATACCATCCACACCATCTGGATGATTGGCGGTCCACCACTGTGCGATTTAGAAGATGTTTTCTTCCTCGCACGACTTCCTTGTGGAATCGATTACCATCAGCGATTTTTCCGGACCGATATGACTTAGGGACCTTCAAGAAAAGAGCCTACTCCTTTTTAAAAGGCCGGCAACGCATCTGCAATTCCCCTGGTGTTGCGGTTGTTCATGGGCGGCGGTAGTCACTTACCATCAGGTGAGCCGCATGCTCGTTTGCCCCCTCTCCTATAAAAAAAAAAAAAAAAAAAAAAACCAAGAATTACAACGAATGCTCTAGAAAGAAGACAAAAATTTTGTTAAATTTGTTTATTAAAGTGATGAAAAATTAATAAATAATCGTATGTTTATTTTAATGTTATTGAATTATATTTAATATGTAATTGTGTTTTCATTTGTTTTAATTAATGTAACATTGTTAATATTTCTAAATGTTGTGTAAGTACACAAAAATTAGTTCTTTTTCTTTTTTATATTTCTATATATTTTCATTTGAATAGAATATATATCTTTACAGTCATACAAAAGTCTACTATTGAACATAAACATGATTATAGTTATTTGACATAGTTTTAACGCTTGGAAAGCGGGTTGTCAACCACTGTTTTTTTTATTTGTTTCCCTATGTCGCCTCATACACCACCCATGGAATGATATGAGGTAGCAGATAATCTTACACTGCATGGTAAATTAAAATAGAATATTATAAAACATTCGTTTTTATTTTATATACCAACATATTACAAAAACGAACCCTTTGTTGATGCTTTACAACGTATATTAACTAAAACATTTTACCACTTTAACCATCAGCTAACATGATTAAGCCACCTAACCATAAGTAAGTCACCTAAAAAAAGGCCTTCCCTAGATATCCTCATAGGATGACTTTTACCATAGTTGCCACGCCTGCGTGAAAATTCGCGTTATGCTGGTTGGCCACCGCAGTTATTTATTATTTTAAGTTTTCATCGGGAAAGTGCTGCTGCCCCATCCCCATCTTGTATTATTGCTTACGACGCGGGGTAATATCATTCCGTGTACAGACAAATTCTCTTGTACGCCACAACTTGCCGCACACAAGACACTAACTTAGCAAAACATGCAGGAAATCGCGGGAGTAGCCTCTTTACCGTGTTTTGTACTACAAAACCTAAGTGGAAAGCCTTTCCTTTCGGAGGTCTGTGTTCAGCACTGAACTTGTGATGGAATGGTATGTTAAAACATTATTGAATTTTTTTTTTGTAAAAAAACCACGAAATTTTTGTTATTTAATATTTTTATTCTTAATTAATATTTAAGTACATACATAACATATTGTTATTTATTAGCAATATCACACTTAGTGCTAGTAGCGTCTTCACTTAGTGCCGTCAAAATCCAAAGAGTTTATTGAATGTCCAGTAAAATCGTCGTTTCGCCGTTGAATACAGAATGATGATTCTGTTTTTACGCCGTTTCCGCCCGTAGTTTTTAGTCACAGAATGTATTTTCAAGAGAAATGAATTAATCATCTGAATTATAAAAGAACATTTTTTATGGTTACAATTAATTTTTTTTTGTATGAATGTAAGTGCCGTGAATATAAATAAACCCATAACGGGGGAAATTCAACAATATCTGGTAACCCAGTGAAAGTACCTCCCGCCTATTTCTATCAAAAGCATACGCGAATGCTTTATCTAGTCAATCCTCAATCTACGTTTAAGTTATTCAGATTTACTACTCTATTAAGTCCTTGCTATTATTTTTTTTATTATTGTTCTAAGTTTCTAAACTGAAATAAAACTTCAATGACATTTTCTAATGTCAGAAACAGGTACTGATATTGTCTGTATCTGTGGGCCTGAGGAATTCTTTTCTTGTGTTGTGTCGGCTTGGTGAAAGTCGAATACGACCAATTAAAAAATCGCGCATGGAATTTAGCTTCCTGTGATTGGTGGATTGTCATTCAAAAACGAAACTGTGCAGTGCAGTCGCTATAAAATTAAAATGTTAGATTTTAGGATTATTGCATTTAGTTTTTAAAGGAATAAGTGAAAAAAACATAAAGTTTGAAAATAATAATAAAATTTCATTCGTGAACAAGTGCGTGCTTTACTAGATTTTTCTCTAAAATATTCGTTGTTTAATTTGTTTGAAGATTAACATAGCTTATAATTTGATACATCTTGTTTTTTATTGATTAATGATTTAACCATAAAATTATTTTTGTGTGTCACGGCAAAATAAATATTTTTTATTTGCTTCATTTTTTTAATTATGCAAAAGGAAAGCTTGTTCTTGTATCCTCTTGCTAGCACTAGATTCCTTATTTTCCCCTGTATCATCCCAACCTGGCCATATATCTCCTATTATACATTTTACATTACTTGGTAATTTCTTTGGTATTTATCTAGAAAAAAGTTATCTTTATAGTTCAGTCTAAAATAGTTTCAATCTTTGAGTTCTATTTGCAAATTTTTTGTCAGTACACATTATATAGATGATATTATAAAAACTGCGACAAAATATTGGCCAAATATAATTAAGATTAATGTGTAGTGAATATTAAAAGATACTATGTTACAAATGATTAGCGTGTGACCGAATGAATAGTGTCTGAATTAATGAAAACTTAATATACAATTTAACTATGCTTTAACATTGTTAAATTTTATATTAAGTTTAACAAATCTTTATGTGACGAGACTCCTTTTTGATAAGAGTCCATCTGGATAGGTACCATCCTCATGTCTATTTCTGATACCAATTAATACTGCCTACACTACGGTTCCATTTTGTTAGACAGTATAACTACAGGCTGCGAGTCATTCCACCTTAATCCTCAGAGGTGACAATGCATCTGTAGTTTCCTTGTCTAAGGTTTGCTATAGGTGTCTATTGATTGCCGTAACCACTTACCATCAGGTGGATTGTAAGGTTGTTTGTCACTTCAGTTTTGTAAAATAAACCCATTAGAGAGTACTACCATTTCTTTATTAGTATTGTCTCAAACAAAATATTACATTCTTTGTTGTAAGATTTGAAATAAAAAATAAAATTACTTTGTTTAGTGAAAAAATATATGAAGTCTTAAAATAATAATAATATGTTGTTTGATACAGTAGAAGTATGCCATATTAAAATTTAAATCACATCTTAGCGTAAAACTCAAGAATATATATATCATTTTAGATGAAAAATATTTTAGTATTTTAAAATAAAATAATTCTAGATAATTTTTTTTCCAATAGAGATGTAGCTAATAGCTTCATATAACACTGGATTTTTTAGGTAGGTGTGTTGATTCTATTTATTGTATATACTGCAGAGAAAAAGTTAATGTAGTTTTTGGTACAATATAGATACACCAAGTTATTTTGTTTGCTGATTAGGTACAAGTGAGCTGATAATGTGCAGCACATTCTGTTTGCCAAATGTGGCAATTATAATATTTCTGTCAATTTTGGAAAATTTTGCCTATTATGGGATTGCTTTCATGAAGACTTAATGATGACATAGACTTAGGCTACCTCTTGTTAACATTTTAGTAAATGATGCATATTTAATGCATCAATTTTCTATGTATTTCATTTAATTAGTTGTGAGTTTTAAAATTAATTATATGCTTGTATCTGGAAATTACACCTTCATTTATATTGCAATAAAGCTTGAACTTATCAAACCTTTTATAATATAAGGTAATATTATGCAATGAGAAGATTATTGAATAGACAGAAATATATAACTATAGGATGCTGACGGCGTCGGTCGGGCTGGCGTCGCGACGGCGCCCACTCTTTCCCGTCCTCCCCACTGCACCCCTCCACTCGTCAATTCATCCGTCTACCCTTAGATACCAAACAACCCTATAGTTATCACTGCTCTTCATATGTAGTTTCTTTGAATTGCAGAGTATTCTCCTCTCCAAGTTTTAGTAAGTTGCAAAATCATTAGCCAACCTTACTAATAATTAATATATATTTTCAATTCTTATATTTTAAATTGTGCCAGTAACAGTAATAGAAACAATGTTTGAATAGACTTATTGGGAGAGTCATGTCAGAAGATCATGACAAAGATGCTACCGAAAGTGATATTCAGTTTGATGCTAGTCAGTGCAAACAATCGTGTGCAGAATCTGAGAGAGTAACAGAGACAGCTCAAGAAGAATCTGTTGAAACAAAAAGTGCCAATACTTCTAGCGAAGTCCAAACTAGTCCGATAAGTAGCATAGAAAATAGTCAGTGTAATTTAAATGATAACAAAGATTCTGCGGTTAGCAATGTTAAGCATAAAGGAACGCTTAGTTGGACTCTCGAAGGTTCTGAGTTTAAGTTATCATGGAAGCTGCCAGATGGGACAACCTCAACGGAAGATTTCATCGCGCTGTGTTACGCAGGTTAGTGTCTATTTTCATTTTGATTTATTTTACGTACCTACAATTAATTGAAAGTTTATTAATGTCCATAAAACGCCGCATGTTCATATCCATAGATTCGTTTTAAAATTATACTAAGATATTCATATATTTATTGTTGGTCAACAAAGAAGAAAGAGATGTGTATTATAGTTTCCATTTTTTCGATATAATTCGGGGCGATTGGTAAACACACACTGCATTACAGGTAACAGTATTGTCTTGCCCGATATAAAAATATTACATGTGGTCTTGAGTTTATTTAGCGTATTTTAAAATTTATATTTACTCAAATCTTCCTTTATAGAAGCAAGCTTGCTTCCTTGCAAGGGTGACAAACGAGCACACACTCCACCTAATGATGCAGAATGACAAAGTATTATGCTGCCACTACACGCTGTTATCTCTAGGTTTCTCGTTATTTCCCGTTCGAGCAGACATCGTTGTGTCAAAATGATATTGCAGCCATAATGAGATTCAACCAAAATCTAAATAAATAGGAAGATTTAGGTTCCATTGTTTAGATGTACCTAGGGTTTCACCCCGCCACGAATAACTCAGTATTATATACTTACGCTACGTCTAAAACTGTGCGGCTACTACGGTTCCTACGGCGCTACGAGTTGAAGGCGGATTCGCATAGATCTCAACGAGATACGCCGAAAGTAAGAATATTTTTTTTTATTTCTTGCTTAGTTTCCGAAATATCGATATTAAAAAATCAAATACTAAAACCAAATCAGCACATCACGTAGTCTTGTGTGCTCTACCCCTAGAGTGTTTTTGTAAAGCCGTAAGCGCGGAGGTAACGCAGCCCACGTCCGCTGTAGCAAATAGCAGGCATCTGTTCGAGCTGTAGCGGCTGAGACTGGTCGCTGAAGGCAACCAATAAGCCGGGCATAAGTGCCAGTGATTTGCTACGCAAGGGCGATGGGTCTGCACTTCAAGCAGCGCCGAACCCGTTGCAGAAGTAACTTTGGGTCAATATTCCTGTGTAAAAAAAAGTAATTTTCGGCGTATCTCGTCGAGATCTAAATGTCATTCAAATCGTGGCACCTTAAGAAAATTCAAGTCGTGCCAAAAGTGCACTTTCTAAAGTCGTTATCTGTACTCAACTGGAATAGTGTTGGCAACATAATATGATGTATCGCCGTGTAATGGCGGTTAAAGAAAATCCACTACCCCTAATATCACCATGTCCTAAGAGGCGACTGAGTGAAATGAGACAAGGGATCGGCACCAAGGCGCCGGCGCCGACGACAAGGGGTGGCTTAGCAATGATTTGTAGCGCTGGGGGCCCCGGGTTCGAATCCCGCACGGAGCAAGTATTTGTATGGCCTACAAATAATTGTTCCGGGTCTGGATGTTTGTCCTTGTGCAATTTGTGTTTGTAAACTGCCTCCACGATACAGGAGAAAATCCTAGTGTGGGGGTAACGTTTTAAAAAAAATGTTCGACTTTCCTTAGGGCTCATCACATGAAGTAAGGAAATCTGAAATACCCTTAAGGAGAATGTCCATAAACCTAGACGTGGCTACTGGATCTAGAATGATGAATTTACTTAAGGTTCGGAAGCATATTACCATACATTTTATTGAATAATTGTATTTTATTTTTGCACGTGTTTCTTACTTTCTGGATTGATTTTTATTTATTTTTAACACTAACAGGTAACATAGGGTGGATTTTGTTAACTTTTTGTGTGATCGGTTTCGTTTTTTATTTGGTCTTTATATATTGTCGGCAAATATACACATATGCAAATACATATTATATTGAACAAGCCTTATCCAGGCCTTTCTTTGCAAATATGAAGCTATAAACTATAATGATCTATTAATCTATTAATGAGTCATTAAGATACAAAGTCAGTGAGAATCAAAAAGATTTTTGAACACCCTTATCTTGGAATTTATTCAACCTATATAGAGCACACGTTTTTATAGAATAAAGGTGACAAACGAGTACACAGTCTAAATCTATCCTTAATTAAAAATCAAAATGCTGATGCGATGAAATGCCTCGTTTTCAGTAAAACGGGTTACCGGTTCCCCATCGATTGTCGGTTCTTCGAGCTATATGGCCGGGCCATTGCCACTTCAGCTTACTAATCCGTTGGGCTGTGTCGGTTACGCTGGTTCTACTGTGGATATCCTCATTTCTAAGTTTATCACGCAGAGACACCCCGAGCATAGCCCTCTCCATAGCTCGCTGAGCGACTTTGAGCTTCCTCATACGGCCAGCGGTGAAGGACCACGTCTCAGATCCGTAAGTCATCACTGGCAACACGCACTGGTTGTACAATTTCGTTTTCAGATTTTGAGGTATGTCTAAAAAGAAGATGTGTCGTAGTTTCCCGAACGCTGCCCAGCCGAGTTGAATCCGTCGATTGACCTCTCGGTCGATGTTGGACTTACCTAGTCGGACTATTTGTCCCAGGTAAACATACTCGTCAACAACTTCGAGCTCAGTGCTCCCAACAACTACCGGCATAGGTGTGACATGGACGTTAAACATAATCTTTGTTTTGTCCATGTTCATCACAAGACCTATCCGTTGGGAGACACTATTGAGGTCATTGAGCATAGTGCTTAGGTCCTCCAGGGATTCTGACAAAAGGACTATATCGTCGGTAAATCGAAGGTGAGGTGAGTGATATACTCGCCATTGATGTTAATAAAGCATCCTTTCCAGTCCAGTAGCTTGAAAACGTCTTCCAATGCAGCGGTGAAGAGTTTCGGGGATACAACGTCACCCTGTCTTACACCTCTCTGCAGTTGGATAGGTTTCGTACTCTGATTCTGTACTCGGATAACCATCGTAGCCCTATTGTACAAACCTGACAGTCAACTTGGCACCGCTGAAGGGACTGCAGCACCGCTCAAATTTCGACGGAATTAAAGGCTTTCTCATAGTCCACATACACAAGGCAAAGTGGCAGATTGAATTCTTCAGTCTTCTGTTCAATTTGCCGAAGTGTGTGTATGTGGTCTATGGTGCTAAAGCCTTTTCGGAAACCGGCTTGTTCGGGAGGCTGGAAGTCGTCGAGTCTGCGTGCGAGACGATTCGTAATAACTCTCGAAAACAGCACGTAGACGCGGCTCATAAGGGAAATCGGTCTGTAGTTATTCAAGAGAGCGTTGTCGCCTTTCTTGAAGAACAAGACCACCGCACTTCTGCTCCACGCCTCCGTAGTAGTGCCACCATGGAGGACGGAATCAAAGAGCTTCTGAAAGACTTTAAGTACCGGTTTTCCACCCGCTTTCAAAAGTTCCGCTGTAATTCCATCCTCAACTGGGGCCCCGCCGTTTTCAAGGTGCTGGAGAGCCATTCTAATCTCGCTTAGACTGACGTCCGGGATAGTGTCGGATAAGATTCGCTCTTGGATTGTTATTCACACTTGCGTGTGGCTCCTAGGATGACGTGTACAGCTGCCCATAGTACCTCTCAATCTCACTCAAAATCTCAGGTGTCTCGGAAAAGACTTTGGAGCCTTGGTTCCGCTCGATCGCTTCTTCAATACAAGCTGTATTGAAGTTGCGTAAGTCCCGCAGCATGCATTTGGAGATCTGTCTGTTCAGTTGCCTGTATGCTGTCAAATCTGTTGAAGAATGTAGCTTCATCTCCCGTCTAACAGCCATGAGATTAAGAGTGAGATCGGAGAGTTTTTTTGTTCTTCTGCGGAGGGTCTTGCAGAACTTAGCTCCGACTGCATGGATAGTTTCCACGAGCTTGTCATTCATATCGTCCACTTCATTGCAGTCTTCTAGGTACTGAAAACGGTTTTGTAACTCAAGCTGAAAGGTTTCGGGACTTTGGAATAGAGCACGAGGGGGACGGAGTGTTGACTTTATTAGACGGGACCTCTCCAACTTAACGTTTAGTTTCAGGTTTAGGCTCGCGATCACGGAGACATCACTGAACAGTTGTCGTCTGGTCGTCATAATGAAGTCAATCTGATTTTTTGTCGAACCGTCGGGGCTCGACCAGGTCCACTTCCTGTGGGGCCGCTTCTGGAAGAAAGAGTTCATCTTAAATAGTCCCTCTTTCTCCATGAGGTCGGCCGGCGGTATTGGATGAATGCATGGCTCTAGAGATATCCTCATACATTTCCTCCACCTTCTCATGTGGATCTCATGGGGATGTGCCGAAGTTGGTGCGTCAAGCTGTATGACCTTCAGCGAATACCGTTTGGTCATTCTGAGTATAAAGTACGCAACCCTCGTCGACACACTCAATCTTTACAACGTTGTTAACGAGAGACTTGTGGACGATAACGACAGATGGTCGCCCTCCCGGTGATAGAGCAAGTTGCAGGATTCGAGGATAACCGTATACTCCCCCTCTCTTCGGACCTCGGATAATCCTATAATATGCCAGCGTAACTTGTCTATCTCTTCTTCCAGTTCCACGATTTTTTCGTCAGTCCTCAGGGTGCGTGCGTTGTATGTTGCCAGGTCGAGTCGTCGTAGGTGGCAACCGAACCTCTACCGGAGATTCTTAGCACTCCCTGCCCCGCCGATACCATGGTCGCCACCGTAGCCAGAAATAGCGGGGCTGCCGGGGACTGGGGGCCGTCTTTTTGTTACTCTCATTATGGGGTGGGTATTTTCCATAGTTGCCAAACTTGGCGAATGGGTTGGCAACTGCAGTTTTTTTATTGTAATTTTGGCTATTATCAGGAAGATGCCATCTCCTGCCTTTTTCCCACTGTCGCCTCTTACGTCACCCACAGGAAGATGTGGTATAGTGGATATTCTTATTCAGAATGTGAGAACAAACTGCGTATGTTGGCTGTGCACCGAGCACTGACCGGACATTCATACGTAACGCAAACGTATGAAAGTCCGGTCAGTGCTGCATTTGGGAAACTACTTACAAAGGCCAGACGAAGTAAAGATGTCCTAAGCAGCACCTTCAATTTATTGGAGATTTAGGGCATAGAAGTAAACTATAGCCATAGTTGCGATTATAATAGATCA